TCGACTGCGATTACACGGCGACAGCACGGAGTTGTCATTGCGATCATTGCGCTCCCATGGCGTTTCTACAGCGTCCGTTGGCGATCACAATGCGCTTTCACGGCGTTGTTAGAGCGTTGTCAGCCACCTCACAAAACAAGAGCAATGGGATCATATTTGATCAGCAATAATTCCAGAGAAAATTACACCAGAACTTGTTCTGTTGTTTCACTTAAATTTTGTAGAAAACTTTTCAGTGTGTTTATTTTTTACATTCATAATAAAATCAAAGAAAATCTAACAACACATCTGAACCGATGAAATTGAAGAAAAAGAAGTTTAATCATAAAACTATTAAATATTAATAATTTAGTACTAAATTATTTAAATAGAGCATTTTTAATTATCTAGAATGTTTCTTGGCATGATTAGAAGGCTTTTCATCTTGTAACTTGAATTTTTAAACAAAAATGTTTTACATTCCTTCTGAAAATATATCAATGAGTATAGAACGTATTGTGAACGCCGTGAACACGAGGTGAAAACTCCTAACGCGCCGTGAAAACTCCGCGGAAGCGCAGTCAATCGCCGAGAGATCTCCGTGGGAACGCAGTAGAACGCCGCGAGATCGCCGTAGAATCGCATCCGTCGCCGTAGGGACGCCGTGACATCTTCATATTGTGAAAATTTTACAGAAATTTGTGCAATTTTCCTGCAATTCCACGGCGATTTAAAAAATTTAACAACACCGTAATGACTCCGTGTGGTGTGACAGGGCCTTTAAAGTAACAAGACAATTAATCTCATTACAAGCGCTGTAAAAGCGCGATAGAAACGCAGTGACATCTCCAAGGACTCCGTGACATCTCCGCGACGTCTCCGTGGAAGCGCGGTCTACTGTCACTGCGTTCATGCTGCGATCATGTGCGTCTTCACGGCGTTCGTACGGAGCTCCCACTGCGTTGTCGGAGATCTCACCGCGCTGCTACGGCGATCATACTACGTTTCTACTGCGATCATATCAGACCGCGATCACACAGAGCGTACTTTGTGCATGCCCAAATTGATCGCCGTCCCCTGACGTTCTAGGAGACCCTACGCGACCCTACGGCGTTCAGTAGAGATCTCGCCGCATTGTCACGGCGCTGTAGGAGACTCTACTGCGATCACCTCGGCGTTTTGCATCTTAATTGACGCCGTACGATCGCAATGAGGACACAGACAGGGGTTTAGGGAATAGAGCACTGCTCTATTCTTAATACAAGACTTAGCTGACATTTTTTTCAACTTAGCTGGAAATCTAATATTCTGTTTTAATAATGTGCACTGTCTATCAATATGGCTCAAAAACACATGGAATTTATGGAAATGTTTATAATCTTGTGAGTCTTGCTTTATTAGCGTGTGGACATGAGAGCCGTACTTTGTGCAAAACGTAAGGTTTCAGACTTAAAGACAAGCCTTATCATGTGTACCGGCCCTTACGGTAGCATCATTGATTAGAACCAAATCTTTTAAAAGATATTTTCATGGATAATCTGAGATGCTTTATACAGAAAAAAAATCCTCCAAAATATAGAGTATAGAGTGACAACTTCATTTGTTGAAAAGAAAATTCTGCACCTAATTGGAAAATGCAAGAATTTCAGATCTTTCTCCGATGCGTTTAATGTTCAAAGTTTTAAGAAGAAATTTTTGAGGAATTATCTGACACCCAGTACTTGAAATAAGATCTTGGTGTTCGAAATACTTAGTATGGATTGTGAAAGTACATGTATTTTAAATACAGTATAAATTAGGGATGTCAACGAATATTCGAATATTCATTCGATGAGTTGATATTCGAATATAAATTTATTATTCGAATATTCGTTTTTAAGTATACAAACATTAAAAAGAGAGAAAAACCTGGCAAGTTTTATTAGAAATTGAATAAAGTTTGTACAAAATTTTTAAAAAACCCACTCCTCTTGGATTACCTTATTTAAAGGTGTGAAGAGTGTATCTATCAGAGTAATTTATTTATTTGTTCACTTAATTAGAAGTATAATAGTTTCCAGTACTTACAATCAGCTTGTATTGTTGTAAGGACATAGTTTTACAGTAAACACACAGACCCCTTGTTTATGTAAATATCATTAAAAATCATTATCAGGAAATCATAATTAGCGAAAAGTAATTGCTTTTAATATTTCACCGTTAGATAATTGTAATGTTCTGCTTGGTATAAATTTGTAGGAGTTATCAGTGTAGACTTTAGTAAGACGATCAATAATTAATCTGGAAAATTTTAAAGAATCTTTTTAATTTTCTAAAAAACAATCATTACATTTGGGAAGTATACTATTCAATATTTCTTTTAAAAAATATAATTGCAGTGTATTTACCGAACTCCACATGAGTTTTTATTTCAAATAATGGCATAAACTCTATACTACTTGACAGGAGAGTGAAGATTTATATTTAATAATGCAAGATGTATTTATTTTATCGAATATTCGAATATATTCGAATATTCCTATCGAATATTCGAATATCATTTATTGACAATTTTGACATCCCTAGTATAAATATTTGTATATAAACATTTTTTTCTGAACAGTTACTTTGGATTAGATTAATTACTAAAAATTAATTTGAACATAAATGTGAACATTTTCGCAAGCTAAGGTTTCCAGTCAGAACTCTCTGTGAAAAGAGTTGGATTGGCCACCTTTTGAAAGCTCTTTGCAAGTTTAAGTGGTGTCTTTTGAGGTTTAGAACAGTACTGACATAAGAACTAGAAGAGTTCGGTTTGGGAATCCCTGGCTTGCAAGGAATTATTGTACATTGTTTCTAAATATTGTACATTGTTTCTAAATATTATCAGTAAAAGTTTCAAGCAGAATAGGTGAAATATTATTGGTTTCCAATTCTCCATCCAGCAAATGACGTCACTGCATGACTATCAACGTAGATAGAGGCATGCCTTTCTGTTGGTGCCGTGGTCCTTATATTAACATTGTCGCCTTTATTCAGGACGAGTACAACTGTCGACGAGTCGGAATCAAAGTCATTGGTATCCTGTGTGTCTGTGAGTGTGCCTCCCGCAATATTGCCATTCACCAAAAGATTTAAATAGTGGGCGCCCCCTGGACTAGTGTTAATTGTCCAGGTGATCACGTATGTCCCCGCGGCAGGTGCTATGAATGTCCCACTGTACTTACTGAAGCCATTCCCTAGGTTTGTTTTGATGACGTCAAAAATTAGAGTGTGATGGTTGCTCGGCGTTGGTTCTGGTTTAGACATGTAAGCGTAGAAGGCAATTGGTTCCACAGGTACTGGGGTGGTGGTTGGTTGTCCTATCAAAAGCCGACCTATAAGGGATAAACTGTCAGACATAAATTGACCAAGTGCATACTTTTAACGCTTTTAAAATTTCGAATTGGAGCAAAGCGGTTGTCTTTTGGATGTGTAATGTATTAGAAATGAACCATAATCAATACAGTCTTATCTGTTAGAGAGAAAAAAAAACGTTATTTCAAAATAATATGTGCCACATGACAGCTTGAAAATTACTTACGCTTCCGTGTTTGTACCCGTGTTGTTGAATCAACAATCTCTTCTGGATTTTCTTCTTCCCCCAAGATGTCGTGCAATTTTGAAACCGTTGTTTTCAGATCTGATACTTCGGTTTTCAGAAATTCATTTTCCTTTTCTAATCTAAGAATTTTTTCACTTTGGTATTCTAGAACCCTTCTTATTGCAATAATGTCATCTTCAATTTGACTTCCTGCAGCAGTATGATGCGGGAAAATAAATACAAAACACAGGCATGTGTAAAAAGGACGATGGGTCATATTAACAGTTTGACATTAAAATGACTTTTGAGATAGTAATGATAAGAATTATTGGAACATAGGTCAAGAATATTTATGGTGCTTACAAGATATTAGTATTTGCTGTATGATTATTTTTTTGTTGACTATCGATTCAATGAGGGTTTAGGTAGATATTTTTTTTGTTATTTATGTGATACTTAAAGTTAGAACATTTCTGTACTTAAAGTTTCAAAAATAAGAAAAATACTGTTATACAAACTACATGTATATAGTTTTTAATAAAGTCTAACCAAATGGATAGAGAATAGGATGATTTAATTTTTTTGAATGCGTGTTTACTTGCATCTGAAAATATGAAAATCAAATAATTTTTCATATATTTCCACTTCTATTTGTTGTCCCCATCTTTAGCGAAAGCGAAGGGACATTAATTTCCTCTGTGATATCTCTTTGAAAGTAAGATGAGTTGATTTCTTGATCATTCTATCGGAATGTTCATATCGCAAAGCGATAGCTAGGTCAGGGGTTAAGGAGGTCAGAAATCGCGCCAAACCTGTTCTCTCTAGATTATCCGTGTAATTCCGGGACGTCTCTACATTTTACATAGTCGAAATCGCCACTTTCGTTGCTTTCAATTTCTGTACTTGGTATAGAGGACTTTTTTGGGTTTACTGTATGTTTTGTACGGCAATTAAGTTCAAATCGGCACACGTCTGAAAGGCGTTATTCAATCATTTTTTAAGCTATCAAGTGTGAACCGAGGCACCCCCTGAAATCCAAGATGGCGAGTGTCGCTCCTTTACTATGTTTACTCTTTTTATATACAGTAAATATGATTTTTTTTTTTTAAACGTGCCAATTTCAGCGAATTTTTTTAATGAGGGTATTCAGACACACCTAGAAAAATACGTATTTACACAAAATACACCATCCTGAAACCAAGCGCCCATGGGCCAAATATATGCGTGTAAATCTCGTGTGGCTGTCTTTGCGTTTGACGTCAGTGGGAGGGACTTTTGAAATTGACATTTGAGGCCTCGTGTAATAAATCTAAATTTACAATTTTATTTTGAAATGAAAATATAAGGAGAGAATTCGAATTTCTAAAGCAGAGAGCTGCAGTTCTGCCTGCAGCTACGTTTTCTGAATCTAAAAAAAAAACATTGTTACAAACAAATATTCGTATGATATATATAAAACTTATATTACAACGGAAAAGAATTCGGCATTCGATTGTGATTCCTAATATGATGAAATATATGGAGATAACGAACAGTATTCAAGCTCAAAAAACCATAAAACAATACAAAATAGGAGCAGCGCAAACACGGACCTCCATATCATCAGAGGTGGGATCAGGTGCCTTGGAACAGTGATCATCCAGTGCCGACCGGTCACACCCGCCATATGCTTCTTGTCATGATCGAGACATGACGGGAAAATTTGTCGTCAATTCAGTCTGTTAATAATGTACAAACAGTTGGTATAAAAAACGTCAGTCGGCATTTGACTCAATGATAAATTGTATTTGCTGACATTGTTATTGCATCAACCATAGAACTTACAAAATAATTACTTTATACGAGACTACTGAAATTCTTGTTTCATCCACTTGTTTGTCAATAATATACCTCTTTTTTTTAGAAATTGTACATACGTAAAGCATGCTCTTGCGTATCGAATCAACTAAGAGATATAAACTCCGT